AAAACATTTTGTTGGGAATTTGCGTCAGAGTCTGAATCGAATAGTATACTTTTGCTCGAGCCCAGAATAAAATTTATGTTATCCGAGCCCGGATTCCAGCCGTGGGCCTTTTGAGGGGCGGCCTCTGTTTGCGCTTAACTATTTGCCAAAAGCACACGCCACAACGCCGATCGAGTTGGAAGCCTCAAAGCAACGTGCCCCGGAATACAACCACAAAATTACTTACTCGCCAGACACGCCCTGTTGTTGCCCTCCTTCCACCGCCCCCAAAAACCTAAGGATTCTACGCCGCCTCTGCGGTTTCCTAGACAAACGTTGCCTGCCCCAGACTCCTAACTCAATCCCAGTCCCAACTGGCCAACCGAACCAAACCCAACCCGACCAAACCCAACCAATCCAAACAGCCAAGTGTCGCCTGGGGCAGCGCATCATTATCGATGCAGGCAGCGGCGAATGCAAATCGCATTAAATCTAATATGCAACTCGACCGCAACAAACTGTGCACATCATTTACCATCTACCCAACCGCCCACCACCCCAGCAACCCGCCATCCATAAACATCCCGTTCTGCACCACCCACAATCCAATCACCAGCATTTGGTCAGCTGGAAACCTCAGACAGACTTGAACTTTGGGTTCATTGTTTTCCTGTTAATTTGCAGCTGAAGTCACAGTGGCCGATAAATAATCACCGCTCGCAATAATTGCAGGCACCTTGAAGAAATTTGTATTAGGAGTTAACTTTCATATATCTGTATATACTTAGAAACGGAAGACAGTTTCGGTCATTTTTCAGCTATACCTAATGCAAACGATATATAAGTCGTGGCCGACGATGGGGTCGACCGCTGAAAAGTTCTTGGACATCTGCGATCGAAGATTTGATGAAGGACATGGCCATCTGGCCGTACATATACCACGCCCGATAAGGACACTGGTCGAAGCGGATCAGCGCCTGCTGTACCACTATTCCATTGGCCAGGACATTGGCCACCAGCACCACGACATACAAGCATGCCACGCCCGTGATCATCAGCTTCTTGGAGGAGGGATTCTCACAGCGCTCGTTCCACTTGGAAAGGGCAAACACTGTAACGGCACTGAGTGGTGCCGCGGCCACGGCCATGTAGGAATCAAACCGGTAGCTCAGCACCATTACCGCCGAGTGCTTGACCTGCAGGAAGAACGAGTCCACGAATATGCTGAAGTTCATCTGGGGACGCACCAGAGCGGCCAGGAGCAGCACGTACAGGCCCAAAAACGCAGCTCCTTGGCGGATGCTCACTTCAACAGGGAGCATTTCAAATCAATCTGAGGGAAAGCAATATAAATAATACGTAACTCTACAAGCAAGCATATACTGGAAGCAAGATTCATAAAACTAATGGCGATGAAATCATTCAAATATTTTTCAAAACCAACTTTCCACGCCCCCTTGTAATTACAACACGACATGAAGGCAATCTTTCAGTCCGATCTTGCCAAACTCCAGCCAACCCGCTTCTTTGGGCCTGGCTAGGCGGATGGAGGCTCGTTTGCCTACCCAATACCCTAATTAGGAACCCCTTCCCTTCAGCGAGTGTTCAGACCAGGCCGACCATCCATCAACCCAAATAGACTTCATTTAACTGCAGTTCATCAGCCCTCGCACACGAGTGTTGCACGTTCCGCAGTGTTTGTTTTCGGCGACTCATCGAAGCCTTTGCAATTACTTAACACATTCGAAATGTCATCACAAATGCACCGGGAATCGCGAAAAGCGAGACACTCGGACTGGCAGAGAAGTGGACTGCAGTTATAACCTCATAATATGGGTCATTAGTGCAGGCAGTACAAGTGCCACGCCCATTAATTACTTCAATTTCCATCGATACCGCTGAGTCTTCACACTTTGCAAAGGCCAGAAAAGTGGGAAAACACAAGTGAATAAAGCAGAGAAAGAAAGCGGGAAAAGCGAAAAAGTCAATGGAGGCAAAAACAAGCATTAAGCATAATTAATTGTGCATTTTCCATGCTGGCGAGCTGAAGTGGAAAATTAACTGACATGGAAAATGGGAAAATTAAAAATGCCAATAGGGAAAATTGAAAGCAGCGCAATCTTGGCGACAGCGTCAATAAATCAATGCAAATACCCTAACAATGCCGGCTAATTGCGAAATGATTAAGCGAAAGTGGCCGAATCAAAATTCAAAATTTATTTTCACGCGCCTGTATGTGTGCCTGTGAGTGTGTGCGTGTGTGCGTGTGTGTTTTTGAGTGGGGAATCAGGGGGGTGCTTATGGAGGTGGGGCGAAGTTGGGTGACATTGTGGACCACCCGTTGACAGCTATAAATCAGCAGGTGTAATGAGTCAAAGTTATCGTTATGCATGGATCATTAATCACACACGCATAGCAAATTAAGAGTACATTATTCCATTGCAGCACATACACAAACACACACACACCCTCTCTTCGGTGGTGCTCCATGTGTGAGTGAACTATAGTGCTGCATACTTTCAGGCAGTTCAGTTGACCATTTTGGAAAGTGGGTCCTAAGGTTTGGGGTTGTGCTTGAGTATTGCAGAGTGTGGATTTGCGCTGACTCGTACATCTATCAAAAGCATATTAGGATTAAGATGATCAATGGTATATCTGCAACATGTAATTGATGGATATCTTCAATGAGGCATGTATGCAACAATCACGAGGAGGACTATTAGCACCTTGAGATGAAAGTTAATGCTCTTAGCTACAGCCTTTCAGTGATGGCAAGAGGGCTGACTCAGAGATGCTCGTGCAGTCGCGATGCCCAAAAGTAGCTTTTGTTTGTTTTTAGCACCAGAACTTGGAACATTCTGGCAGCATCTCTCTATTTACCCACTCGCTAATTGTGAATGCCAATCAGGACAGTGCCAGGACCCAGCTGACAAGACAAAGCCAACTGTCTCCGAGCTGCGCTGAGTGCTGGGGCACTGGCATTGGGCTTGGGTATGGCACTGGGATTGGGGATAGGTTGTCTGGAGCTGCAAATGGGCCGAAAAGCTGGAGAGCTGGTGGAGTTCAGCTGTCTGATTGCTCCAATTGCCAGGCGACCGGGCACGCACGGCTGCCTCATACAAACTTGCAACTAAACAGGACTCCGCTACAGGACTACAGGACTACAGGACTCGCTCGGCGGCAGCAGCAACAACAATCGCTTCTGTCAACGCACAAAAGACAGCGCTGACGTAACGAAACGGTTAATTTAGAGTACGACAACGACAACGACGACGACAACAAGCGAAGGCAGTTCAAAAGCCGTCAGCGCGAGATGAGATGAGGTTGCAGATGGGCACAAAGAGAACTGCACGGAGCAGGAGCAGCACCATCGGCACTGGAAAAAATGAAGTGCGACAAAGTTGCAACCACCCCGAAACAAAGTATCTACTGTTCTCGCTAAAGAAACAGGAACTGGAGTACTGAAACCCACTGAACGCGGGCATTCCAACTGGGTATTTTCTTGTTTTTGAAGTTTCTTCCAGTGTAACAGCAGCAACAACAGCAGCATCAGCTTTGTGCCATTTGCATAGGGGCGTGTACGTAGTCCGGGATCTGCAATTACAAAGCACCAGCTCGAGATTGGAATGAAGGCTGGGTTGGAATGGGATGCTATAGGATGGGATGGGGTGAGATTTCACAGGAAACGGGGTTCGAGACTCTAGTCATATAAAACATTTTTTAGTGCGCTCATGCCGGCGAATGTTTAGAATTTAATTAGCCACGCTCCCTGATTATGCGCGCACGAAATTAGAGCCTTCGAATGGAGCCCTATAAAATGTGTACCGAAGTGCCGATGACAACAAAGGAGTCATCCTCATGTCATTATACTCACATCTGCAAGACGTCAGAGAGTCGGAGTCACAGCCACAACCACATCCAATCCAATTTCAGTTTTGAGTGCCAGGACGTACTGCGAACTTAAGATTTGGAACACTTACTTTGTAATTACCAAATACACATTTTTAAACTAGATATGCTGAGAATAATTTTCGACTTCTACCGAAAAGATTGCTGGAAAGTGAAACTTTTACTGATAATACTTGTCTATTTAGCTATTTTACAGGCTTAGTTATACCCCTGAAGAGACCACTCTGGTTGCTTGGATACCAAAGATCCTCTCGATTACAGACCTGCTTCTGGCCCACCCCCCAACTATTCCGGTCATCAACTCCTTGCGGCCAATGCAAATGCAGCAGCTGCCTGCTCCGTTGACAGGACAAACAATGGGCGACACTTCAGCACTTTCATTTTCCCGCTCAAACACTTGCGAAAAACACTCCGCCGCAGACTCAACGCTCCGCCACACATACAGTTTGCGGATTTTTATTTATTATTTTGCTTCTTTTCTGCGGTGGTGCTGGTGGTGTCGGTGGTGTCGGTGGTGCAGTGCACTCACACAGACGCACAACAATTTGCGAGTCGCACTCAACGTGAAGTGTTTTGTGCGGTTTTTTCGTGTTGCATGTTTTATGTTCGTGTTCGTGTGTACGTGCACATATATTTTTAGAAATTGTTTTTAGTTGCATGTTTTACTTTTATGCTGAGTTCGGTGACAGCTCGAAACGAGTCCTGGTGGGCGAAGGATCTGGTAGGCCGTTGCAGCCACTATGACAGCTAAGTCACATACGCATTGTTCGGGATGTTTCTGGGCTGCAGAGGGTGACAACCAAATCGGGTTTGGATTAGATAGAAATGGTATGGAAAAGTTAGTTCAACATTATTAGGACTTCCGTGGTGCATGTTTATTTAGGGATTTCCAATATCCTCGAATTTTATAAAGTTATTATTAAAAAAGGGGGTTCACATTTTTCGCAGTTACTGACACAGCTGCCGCTGTCATATGGAGGAAAATTGAGTGCACACACACATATGCACGGCCACCAATACACCCATGCGATCGGCCGCCCCAAAAGTATGCAACACTTGCCCGACTCTCTATGCGCATCTTTATTAATTATGCCAGCGATTTAATTAAAAACTTAACCAGCTGTCGCCTTGAGCGCCGTGGCACTGAGCAAGGGGATCGTCTCCTGGCCACCCGAAGGAGGAGTGGGCGGACACAGCGCAGGAGGCGTGGCAGCAGCGGCAATTTCCGATGGATTGCTGCTGAGTTGGCAACTTGCTGGCGCTGCAGTTGCCGCAGATGGGGATGGGCTAATTAAAATGCATTGTTTAATGCAAATAATGGATTATATAAGTTGGTAGTTTTCAGTGTTTACTTACGGCGGGTGGCTCTCGACTCGTGGCGCCCAAACGGCTGCAGCTGCGGCTGGCGGCGCCTTAACGACTTTTGGCCCGACTCCTCCATATTGTTGTGCCGTCTGAATTGGCTTTGGCTGGAGGCGCAGTTGCTGGCCTGGTTGTTCAGGTTGCACATTGACGCCATTGAACCCGGCCAATATTTGAGGTGGTTGACCCGCGGCGTTTTCATAAACAAAAAAGTGTTGCCCCTGTTCTTGTTGCGGTTGATTTGTGGCTCGTTGTAGCTGCTGTTTTGGTTGCTGTTGCTGGTAGTGATGCTGCTGCTGTGGCTGCCGCCAATTTGGCACAGTTTGGCCCAGTAACTCGTGCAACAATGGCGCCAACGCTTCGCTGCCCGTGATTTGTTGCAGATGCTGCAGGAGCGCGGCTTCCTCGACGCTCTGTCCCTCCGCCCGATTGATGCTCAGGATGCCGGTGTTGTGGTGCCTGTAAGCAAATAGTTTGCTCAATAGATTGACCCGCTAACCACCACCCACCCACTCACTGGGCGAAATTCGTTGCAGCACATCCACACGACCTACTTTGTCAGCGGCTGTGCAAATATTTGCGAACCAACTCCCGAACAAACCAGCGGCAAGTGGAGCACAACCAGCCAATTTGGATACATATTTAAAGACTTATTAGTGCCAGAGACCTTCCAGTCGCAGCCCTCAGCGAGAACTAACTCCGGCTAACTAACTTCACACATCAAATATTCTCCGATGCCATGGATTCTCATTGGGAGATGCTTGCCTTTGCCTTTGCTTGGCATTCGATTAGGTTTCTTGTTTTCGGGCATTAATTATTTTGGGGCTAATTATACATGCACATTAATATGCAAATATTATGAAGTGTGAACATTTTGATGTGCCCCATTGGTTTCGGTATGATAATTACCAGCTCGGCCTTACAGATCCAACTGGGGGCACGGCAGCGATTCGATTCGATAGGGTGGATTCCAATTAGCCGGCTACAAAAAATGACTAGCTAATTGGCCCAATCAAATAGTATAAAAAAACTAATGATAACTAATGAGTAAATTCAGAAAAATTATGTTGGTTATAGTACTTTTATTCCGCTGAATAAGTTACTTCTTATTTGTCAGAAGATTACCTAAATTTTGCACAGACTTCTTTAATAAGAATTATGTTTTATATTATAAGCATCCTTTCAGCTTGTGTTAATGCCCCCATAAGTTATATGATGATGTATTCTCAACGAAGAGAGCTCTTAAGCTCAATCCATAAAACTGCGAATCTCAAACTGTTGCATTAACATACGAGCCATGTCAAAGAGCTGGCTATAAATCCGAGCTAAAATGTCAACCGTCTGGCAGTGACTGCCAAACTGTAAAGTGGCCCTTGGCTTCAGCTTCCATTTTCCGCTCTCCGTGGATCCGTAGATGTGTGGCAAAATGTTTTTCCATTAAATTACAATTCCCCTTCTCGGAAACTCCCCTCCCCTCCCCCCCTCATCATCGGCGCCCTTCGTCGGCCAGCAAAGTCATGAAATTTAGTGTTGGCGGCATAATTAGACCATCAATTGCGGAAAACTCATGACAGTCATGAATGGCCGACTGTGTGCATGTGTCTGTGTTGGTGGGCCAAAACCACAGGGGCGTGGTCAGGGGGCTAGGCACACTATGGAATAAAGTAATATGTGCCCCAAGCATAAACTCATCAGAGTCGGAAAAGCTGACAGAGATGAGGACGGCAGCAGCAGCAAGAGCAGCAACACTACACGGTAAAAATAACTTAACTAATTAATTAAAATCAATTGAGCATCGTAGTAATTAAAACAGTTTTATAGATAATTTTCTAGCTTATGAAGTGGTTGATTTCTAAAAACGTAGCCCGATGATCAACTGAGAGTACAAACTATTATACAGAATTTTAAATATTTCCTCCAGTGCAGCAAAAGCAGCAACAAAGGGCGCCCTGAATTTTGACGATGGACGGGACTGTTGCTCACAACAGCAACAACAACTGACAGGACTTCGGCAACGACGGCCACAATAAAGTCGGAATGTAAAGCACAAATGCTACTTTGGTTGCTCATAAATATTCACTGGAATGTATTCGGTCTCCTCCGCATTTAGCCGTTGTCCTTGCGGCTTCGCTTTCATTTTCCACCGCTTTTTGGCCGAAAGGCGCAAAAGTGTGAAATGGTCGAGTGCGAGAGTGTTCATATATGTATATATTTTCTATTTTTATGACGATTTTTCGGTGACTGTTTTAGCCAGCCGAGTGTGAAAGTTAAGCACATAAATTACAGGCGAGCGCCGCCAGAGGAATTAAAAGCGCCGTGCACCGTGGCCGAAAAACCAGAAAACACTTAAAATATGGCAACAACCGCTCACGCGGGAATCCCCCTCTTTGCAGCCGCACAGCAGAGGTAAGCAAAATAGGTGTTAGACGAATAGTTTTACCCCCTTTATGGTTTCTAATCAACCAAGCCATTTCGGTAATATGTATTTATTTAGGCATGTAATCCCTGATGGCTACTCAGTACTCACGTTCTATATAATTTATAATTATTAAAAGAAAAACCTTTTTGGCGCTCCTATCCTGCCAAGCCCAACTGCTGGCATGTGTGTGAAGTGCGGCTCGTTGGCGCTTTTTAGTGAAATTACACGCTCTAATCCACAACTTTTGAGTGGGCCCACACCATCGAAAAGTGTGGAAAAAAGCGGCCAGAATCCAGAAAACCCTCTGACGAGTAGGATCTCCCAGGGAGAGATGAAAGGCGACTGCCGAGGGCATCAAGGGCTGCAAGAATGCGCCAGACAGCGCCAAAGACCTAAACGCAAAACAAGCAAAGCTCGCACAAACTCAGCCTGAAAGTATGCAAAACATAATTCATGCTGATGGAATTGTATGCATGAATATATGAGGAGCGCCCCCAAATCCCAGACTCCAGTGCCCATAACCCCTGGGCTGGCTAAAAATCATATGCATCACGTGATTAAACGCGTCATGCATGAAAATGTAAAATATTGTGCAACCATATAGCTCACAGACAGCGCTGGCGAAAAGGGGGAGCCCCCTGTTGGGTTGACTGGCTGCCAGAAGTTAAAAAATACATATAAATATATAAAAAAAGGGGAAAAAATTAGACCCCCACATCATGTTTACTTGACTTGACTGGCAGTCTGGTATCCGTGACCAAAGCAAACGAGAGCAAACAAAACGCCTCGGTTACAAATTTTTCACAATTTTTTCCAGCTGCCCCCTGCCCTGCGCCCCGCCCCTCCGGCCAGGTTTAAATGGAGAGAAATGGCTGAGATGGAACCGAATCTGAATCTGATGTTGAGGCTTCCGCTGACGGAGATGAATCTGGGCAGCACGTGCCCCAGACGCCGCCAGACATTGGCTTGAACTTGGCCATAACCAGACGTTGTTGCTATTTGTTCGGTCGCTCCCCTCATTGCCGCCCCTTTTTGGAGGAGGGGCACGTGGGCGTGGGCGTGGCCCCGACTGCAATGGCAAATTCTTGCGGCTTTAATCGAGTTCTCAATGTTGGGTGAAGGTCAGAATCGTGGCCAAGAGAGAAATGAATGACCAATTTAAATGCAAACTCTTTTTTGCCATCCCACTTTTTTTCCTAATTAACTTTAGTTATTTGTGACAAAAAAATGTGTGTTTGACGCTGCAGAATGCATTAATAGAATTTCAAATAATTCTTTTTTGCTTTGAGTTGTGCTAGTGGCCTATTTAAAAAAACACGACGGCTTTATAATACTATTTATTAATGATTTTGAAAAAAAACGTAAACGTATTACCTTAATAACTAATTTCCGCCTGAAGATTCTTTGTTAAATGAGTGCAAGCGTATAAGCTCTTTTTTCTCTTTCTGCATCTGTAATAATTATAATATTGTAACTTTAAAACTTTATATGCAGATGCAGAGATCTGCACTTTAAGTTCACTTGCAATCCGCCAAGCAACTTGCCATACAAATTATGCGCTCATTGCAACTGCGCTTTTCTGTCTCTATTCCAACTGATTTCTACTCAGCCATATGGAAATGGAGCTTTGGAGCACATTCGCATATAAAAAAGGAGTTTAGCAACTTTGGCTTACTTTGTGGCATGACTGGGGGAATTTATTACTAGCACTTGGATATATCATTCAGGACTGGCGCCCGGCGCACTTTTCGCGAATTATGTCAGTGAAAAAAGCAGAAGTTTAACTACTTTCAGCGACTTTTACGCAATGTAGCCCCTTGAAGCGGAGAAAGCCAAAGGGAAATGCGGTGAAAGCGGGCGCGAACTTTCTTCATTTGCTGCAGCACACTTTGTCGCAGTTGCCGCACTTGGCTTAGTTGATTATTTTAGTCGCCTCTTTGCTGCTCCTGCTGCAGCCTACAAAATGTGACAAATCCCCACATTTCTTGCCCCATTCTCGTCTGACACATATTCGCTCTCTTTTTACGTTTTGTCCGAGTTCGAGGCCCACTTTTCCACAGCAGTGCGACCAAATTATTGCGGACACGTCGCACCCACTTGCAGATAGTAGAAAAGCGGGCCAACAAAAGCAAGTAAGTATCCCACTCAGAATGGCGCTTGTAGACAAGAAAATACCATTTAAAATGTACTTTTCCCAAGCTGTAAAGTAAAAGATTAAATTAACATGTGCCAAATTTACACAGTTTTTAAATCATCGGGCTTGCATTTTCGTCTGTTCTTACTTATTTATACTTTAACTAACTCTGTCAGACTCGTATTTTATAAAGCTTTTTGTTTTATTGGTTTTCTGAATTTATTAGAGGCAGTGAGTGTGGCAATATTTATGTTATACTTTTTATGGTATTTTATTATTTGGTGCAGGCTGCAACCTGTGGCAACCTGTCACAAGCACTTATCATACCCCTGTAACCTACAAATCGGACACTTTATATCATGCATACAAAGATGTTAAAGAAACATGAGCTCTTGAGTGCAACTACTTGCGTATTAGAAGCAGCAACGGGCAGCCAGTCTTCATTAGTGAGTCCATTGAAATTTAGCATGCCCAGGCGATGCCAGTGGGCAATGCATAGCATACTTTAAGAGCTCCTCCTTGGACTGAATGCCAGAGCTGCGGGAAAAAAGAAACTTTGCTTTGCTTTGCTTTGCAGCAAATCAGCGAAAGCGCCAACAAACTATTAAAAACTTTCGCAACAAGAAAAAGTTGCAGGACGAAGATTCCGGCTCCTGCTCCTGGTCCTGGTCCTGGTCCTGCTCCTGGTCCTGGTCCTGGTCCTGGTCCTGTTTCTGTTCCTGGTGATGGCATCCATATCTGACGAGTGCCAAAAAGCAAAAGTTTGCACCGCCAGTGCTGCATACAATGTTTGTGCTGATTGCAGCACAGCAAATGGCTTTTGATTTCACAAATCAAAAGTTTCTTGTGCGCGCCGCACGTGATTTATGCCTGCGGCAGGGGCAAGTCCAGATTCACGAAATCTGCCAAGATGCAGGATGCAGAATGAAGGACGCTGTTACTGGATGCAGTCGAAGCTGGCGAGGATCGCCGGCGACATGCACGAGCGACCAGCTGTAAAAACTTAGTCTTGTCCAGCTCCAGAGGAAAATTAAAAGAGCCCGGGGAATTAGAAGGACACCAAAGAAAAACAATAGTTGATTATTGTTGCTAGGGTATTTGCTTGCCAAATAATTACCTAAACAGAAAGAAAAATGTAAAATATAGTTAA